AATCCACAATATACTTTGTTAGATTTAGCAAATGCCTGCCAGTCTTTGGAAGAATTAAATTAGACATGGGTATGTTTGACTTCGAATGACTTAAAATTAACCGCATTTGTAGACAGTGGATATCGCGATCAGTGGCCTTACACGGGATGTTCACACCACGATTTTAGGCCTGTTTGAAGTCAGCTCATGTGACGCATGCAGCTCATTAGCTTATCGACCTGCCCTACGTGAACTGAAAAGCACGCTTCATGTGTTCTACGTTGGCCCATCAAGGCTCAAAATCTTGTCTAAACATGCGAAAGATCAATTGACGCACCTCCCTCCCATCTCTCACAACTCAATGCAGCCTCATACGTCGACAAGTATCAGTTGGTTGAAATCAACTTAAGTACAGTATTCAGGTGATTTCCCAACAGCAACGTAATTTTTTAAATACGCATAATGTGCCAAGGACGTACTGACATTCCCATGAGCAGTGACCAGTACTTAAATATGCACTTTTGCACGGCAACAAAAGTGTTTCATTCGACATGTATTCGAGTGATGCATACCTGTGTTCCTCTGTATTTTTGAAGGAAGGTTATCGTATTTAGCCTGTAATTTTGGCGTTCAGGACGTGTATGGGGATGAGGTGATCAGAACTCAAAATGGTAATACATAAATTTACATGATTGTTTCTTAATTGTCAGTAGTTTATCTGACCGACGGAGCCTAAGAAATATGATACGGTTTAAAGGATCAATTGTTCTGTTAAAGTGCAGTAGCCGTTTAACCAATGAATGCGACTGCATCTCGTGTTGTGGTGGCCTTCGGTGTACTGTGGAACGAGTGCTATTCGACAGTGCCCAAGTGCTGTTGCATGTTGGCGTCTCCGTGTCATCGAAAACTGACTTCAAGCTCTCAAGAGGAATGGGCACTTCTCGTGTTTGTGGTTGGGGTTGCAGGCCAGGTACCCTCGGCTGCGAATGTTGAAGATTTCATAGCAGGTAGAGTGCAAATTTGTCGAATGGAATGTTGTCAGATAAAAACATGATTTCACGATTTCACTGCTTAGGTGATCAAGAGAAAAGTGAAGGTGGATAGGATTTGGCCGGTCACAGTTTAGCGATTTTCGCTTGTATATGATCAACCTAGTTGCGGGTGGTCAGCCTTGACGGATTGTGTGCAGTCTAAAACGACTGTCCGTTTCGTCTCCAACTTGTTCCAAATGGCATTTCTGTACAGGAAACACCAGTGTTCTTCGCTAGAACTGGTCGTAGCGGCAAAAGCGCGAGTGGCAATGTGACCATGTGGCGGGATGCATCACTGTGAGTTGACGAATCAGCTTACAGTTGTCGGTGACGATCATCGAAATTGCTAAGTCCAAAGTTAACAGTTTTCAACCGTTTGTTCTCTTATGAAAGAACACGTTAAGTTGAGCTTGCTGTTGACAGGATGAAACAACCCAAACGCGACGAAATACTCTAAATGAGATTGTGAGGAAGGTAGGCAGGTGGAATGGGCTGAATGCTCGGCCCTTTCACCGATAATGCGAAATGCTTGTACTTGTGGCGGTTAACGTGTCCTCTTTATGCCATTTGCTGTGTATAGGTGCAAATCAATTTCCATTTAACTCATATTAAAATATCCTGGATTTTTTTTAAAACGTCTCCTGGTTAAGTAAGCTTTTGGAGCCCTAATTACTGCAAAACTAAGGGTGACGCAAAGGTACCGACACCATATTTAATGCCACAAGCCACTTCAAAAGAGTAACTTGTCGTGTCACCGCATACCGATGATTAAATCCCCATAATCGAAATGATTTCCAGGGACACCATTGGTCTGTGGACTCAGGAATCATGCAGCATTGCTCGAGGTTTACGTGCGTTCTGCAACGTAAGTAAACGAGATTTAGCCATTGAACACCGGTTGATATTAACCACGTCTATGTGATGGTCATTTGAGAGTTTTCTAGCGACCGTTGTTGCCTCTCCCTCGAGACCACACTTATCAACGCCCGTAAAGGCAGCAGCAACAGTACCACACTTTTTCCTCAACAACCATTACTGTGACTGCAGCATTACATGCATTCGAGTCCGGTAAAATAAAACAACTCGATAATGGCAAGATAAGCTGAAGATGAGATTTGCGTCTCACTAATTCCTCGAAAATAAGCTCGCATAAGTTTTAAAGGATTATGTGTCGAATTTATGGCAGCAAACATTTCATGCGTACAAAGAGCATAAATAAAGCAAATGAACATCTTGTGCAGAGGATGGATGATCCTCTCAGTGATCCCAGAAGTAAAACCCAGGGACTGATTTTGCTGTTTCAGGAACGTAATTAACTCGGGGACAAACAAATAGACAATCGCTCTTTGAAGACCTCCAGCAAGTGGCTATGTGAAAGAGGAGGAGTCAGATATTAAGGATTAATGGATGTATTGTAGCAAAAGAAGTGATGCGTCAGATTAATCTGTAACCCAAGAACTGCATTCACGGCTGAATGCGTGCTGTGAAAAAGGTGTCAGTGTGTCGCAGAATAGATCGACTGATTACTAATCGTGATTTTGGGCAGTTGAATCTAACATTTTCACATTGGACTTGTGCCGCTCAATAGCTCATTGGCTTGCGATTTGGAAAGTGCGAGTTCCAAGTAATATTTATTCCTAAACGATTACATCAGGACTCACAAATCTGCAAGGATTTGCTACGCAGCGCTTCGGTTCACGTCTCCTGCCATCAACCTATTCTCTTTCCAAAGAATCGCCGTCTTCCACTGTAACCATTCGACGTCTGCATCAACCAGATCGTTGGTCTGAAAGACAACTATCAACCTCTCATAGTTCAGTGAGCATGCATTGGCATCTCCTCGTGAACAGTACTGCACTTTGATAAGTTCTTGAGTCTCACTTGTTTTCTGTTGACGACGAATGTCTAATCCAAATGTTTCTTGAAGCCGGCTCATCGCAATGATCTGAACACTTTATCACAATTGCATATCAAAATGCATGCTCATATATTTAGAATGTTATTAAAACACAACGAGGACGTTTCTTTACTTCTCAAATCGAATAATCAACTGAATGATTTCAGGTGATCTGATATCCTTGAACAACACTGATGCATACAATGAAGACCCACTTCGTCAGAACTCCTCACGCGACACCATGTGACCTGGTGAATATGTCCGTCAGATATGGTTTTGCTGAGAACAAAACAGCTCTTCCTCAACCTGTATCTTCTCTTTGTCAACTGACTGACTCATGCGTAGACGTTTGACCGAAATTCTGACAGTTTAAATTATTTGATGATAATGTTTCTATGGGACGTTCAGTTGGAGAGAGTGAATTTGGAGATCCATGGTTGCACACGAGATGAACTCACAACGCTTATTGAATCGCCTTTCTAGTCTTGATTGAACAAAACACATGAACATATTCGTTTACTGGCGTGAGCTGAGTGAAGTGTAAGACGCAAACGACATTGGCTCACAATCAGTTCCTCCTCTTGGTCCGTGAACGTTTAACGCACCAACCTTGCAGCCAACAAATTTTATTTCTCTGGAAGCGTCGTGCAGCTGTGGGCTTTGACTGGACTCAATGGACAGAACTAGGAGTTATTGCCTTGCAAATTCGACATTTATGCTGTAGTAAGTTGCATTCATCTGCGCAAGCGTCCCACGGCGCAATAATCGACACTGGCTCACTGGATTCCCCAGAACATCGGTAATGTGTTTTGATGAATCAATGTGGTTCAATCGTCCTGAAAAGATGACGAGAATTCAACGTGGGTCTATAACATTCTGCCAAACACTTTTGGTTTCATTTTCAAAAACGTAAACACGCACAGCACCACTGAATTTGTTCATTAATGAGATGACTTGAGTGCAGTGCTTAATGAGGAAATAGTTCTCTAGGGTACATCCATTTCCCCTTACGTTCTGCTATCATCTAGAAACAATCTTACAGTGCCATGAAGACTACATTCATTTTTGCAAATGATGACGTCCGCGAGAAACGTCATCGCAAGCAGTTTTTGGTTGACTAACAGAAAGAACTATTCGTGAAGTCACCACGGTCAAATGGGAACAAAGGTGAAAACATCAGTTACCGTGACTGCTGAGTGCGGATGATCAAGACAACTCCTGGACTTGTTAGGAGCTTGCATCCTTAAATGTTGTCATTAACTCCCCCGAAGTCCAGGCAAAATAACTGACAACATTTGCCAGCATCATTCGTCAATCGCTGGAAGTTCAACATTCATTCTTTCACTTGCTACGCTTTCGCCTGCCCACATTTGAGTCATTCGTTTGTCAAATAAATTCTTGTGCAAAAAATCCCGTTCTGATGCTATTCGGGCTATAAATTTCTAAATTGCTCTCCTAACCACTGGCATCTTGCTGTCCTTTACGCACATACAGAGGTTGAATTTATTTGCCATTTAATAAACTGTTTTAAATGAGAAACCAGCACTGCAGCAACAAGGATTTTGAGTTGCGTAGTCGTGGGAGATCCTAAATGCACCATGGAAAGGAGTAGCACTTGGCACATCTTGACTACCAAGTGAAGACAGTTCAACTTAGTTACTTGAGGTGTTGTTGTCTTGGTTGCAGAATGCTCCAATTTAAAGCCGTAATTCACACCATTGAGTGAGGCGCAAATTTATTAATCTGGAAAGCCTGAATCCTTCTCTTTTAGATGTCGTACGACAAGTCAGTCCCAGCCAGCCTCCTCAGAATACCAAATCCCGGCTGCAATTGCGAAGGCGGTTGTGTTGACCCGCGGGTCTGCGCCTGTCTCGACCGATCCCAAGGGCGCAATTACGACCCAACTGACAACACGTTGTTGCAGTTGCGAATTCCGCGACCGAGATTCGACCGTCCAGTCTACGAATGCAACGACAGATGCTCCTGCCGAAAAGAGGCCTGTCGAAATCGAGTAGTTCAAAATCAATGCCAAGACACAAGCGCTCTCTCCACCTTCGATGCAGGCGCCAAGGGACGAGGTGTGCGTGCTGCGAGCCATTTTCGTCAAGGCGAATTCGTGTGTGTTTTCGCCGGCCACTACATGAATCACAACATTGCCGAAGTACACGCACTTGCTGATAAGCAACTGGAGAAGTGGGATCATGCCTATGTTGTGGCTGTCCAAGAATTTGTTGCAAATGATTGCCCACCCGCCAGCATCAACATTGTCAATGGCGCCCATGACGTTACAGATACTCTGACCGAACTACCCCTGAGTAGCCTCATCAACCACTCCTGTCTCCCCAATTTGACCATTTTCCCCATTCGGACAGAAACTGTTCAGCCATTGTTGGCGTTTTTCGCAATTAGCGATATTTGGACTGGCCAGGAACTCACCTACGATTATTTGGAAAAGTCGCGCGAGATTAATGCGTTCTCAGGAAAGGATTTTCTTTGTGGTAGCCGTAATTGTCGGGGTTACCTCCCATTGTGTGGTTAGCAGACTGCAGATACTCACAACGTCCTTGCTCTCTATTACCAAAAGTGGATATTTACGTTGGAGACGAATATGTGCTTCATGACATTTATTTAATTTATGCATAAATTGTAAAGCATTGCATATTTTTTTGTTGTCGGTACACAAGGCCAACGTTGAAGCAGTCGGAAAAAAATAGAGGGTGCTTTGAAAATACAACTAGACGCAAGAAAACTTGACTAATTACCGGGAGATAAGACACATAACTACAGGTTAGTACCAACGACAACATCTCAGTGTATCAGAGACTGAATGGTGGGCGTATTATTTCGGGTGGATGATGTTTGCCGTGACTGTGGTCTGTTTCTTCCTCTGGTCTTGGGGTGATTTACAAATGGTGAGGGACAGTGCATGATATCATAAAGGCGGTTATTTGTCATGCTTCATCTGCCTTGTTTGCAGAAAAAGTTTCCTTGTCCTCTTTTTTTCGCATTCAGATGTCGATCCACCTCAATTTTTGCTAAATGTAGTCCCAGCTTGATTTCAGCCCCGTAACCAATGTTTTGTACTGTCAACCAAAGAAACGCTGATCGCAACAGAATCCTCCGCGTAAATAATCAGCAAATACGTATGCGCCCATCCGTTTGATGGGAAAAAGCAGTTAACTTGGACACAAAGATGCCTTAGAGTAAAGTCGTTTTTAGATAACCGCAGGATTTAAAAGTAACTTGGGTTCATAAGAACATCATTGCCCACAAATCCCGGCAAACATATTGTGACTATGACGAAATCTAATCCACATAGACGCAGACACTCCCAATAATGCCTTGCTCAATTTAACTAAAGAATTGACGAAACAGATGTGTGACAACCAACTGGTGCCTGTTGGGGAATAGGGATTTGGCTGGGTCAAGAGGGCGCGTGGATATTGAAGTCAGATGACCATGCTGATTTGTGCAATTCAATGTGTCCGCTTATGCGCAAAATGACGCGTGCCACACAGTTAAACCCGAACAGCCGCTTACTAGCCTCATCATCCACTTTTGTGACCCCAATATGACAATATTTCCGATTTATTAAGCTGACAGTAATTCAGCCTATTTTTCGCACTTCAAATGACGTTGACAGCCTGTAAATTCGTGTCCATCTTCCTGCCTTATCTGACGAAATATCAGTGATTGGAATTCAGTATTCCAGGATATTTGACCACTCACTAGTGTGAGTCAGAGGATCACTCCAATAACCCACATTTACCAACCTGATCGCTGATGTACATGTTTAGGTCTCTGGCAGTTTGGCGAAAGCCACAGCGTCTAATACAAGCAGATTACGCTAAACGGATAAACCCGAAAATGAAAGAGACCGGAGAGGGCAAGGCACGACGGTTTACTTAATCGCTCAGGCCGATTGCTTGGTTCGTGCGAGTTCACTAAGTTTAGAGCACGACTCCTATGTCTTTGTTGACTGATACAGTCTAAGTGACGCAGTAAAATGAACGTATTCATGGTCAGGTGGCCAAAGCGGCTAGTCGTGGCACATGCGCAGGTGTGAACGAGCAGACGGTTAGGCATGAGTGACAGGCTCGCTCGCTCGGTGTGAAAGGAACATGTTATTTAAAGTCCGTGCTAATTACATCTTTTGTGATTTCGGGATGGAACCAACTGAAATGATGCGTCTGTTGTTCTCGTTAGTGTAACCAATGGCGTGCTCCTTCATGCACGGTGCACTAGGGTGTGTGAAGCGGTCATGTGAAAGCGGAGTGGCCACCGTCACCAGCGCGATAAATCGTACAATTGGACCAATCAGGCTCTTTGCGGACATTGGTAGCTTGGGCCTCCTCGCGTGCAAACCAATAGCAATTAGCTTTACGGGGCAGTTGACCAGGAGTGACACCGTCCTGATAATCATAATCCAAAAACGAATATAAATTGTTCAAATCAGCTAGAGCAATGAGGGACGATAATGGCTCATTGAAGAGCAAATCTCGCTTTGTGGGAAATCAGCTTTTATCAGATGCGCGAATTTAGTGCTTTAGAAAGAAACAGCCGAACAGCGCACACACCCGCCTGTGGTTATTTTCTACAAGAAATGTGTGACAGTCATAGCAAACTAACAGGTTGAAGTGGAGACGTTACGTGTCTACTTGACAACGCTACGCCCTGCCAACATTCGCGAAGATGTCTGTCGATGTGCTGTTCTAGATTTTCCCTTTAAGCAGCAATTGCTGCCGAAATCGACAATACAAATTCACACATTTTGCGACCATTAGGATCGTGAGAGCTTTTATTTGTTGTAATTATTAGTACTCTTCATTATAGCCTAGTTTGATTAAACTGGCCAAACGCTTAATGCAGTTCAAGCGTTTTGTATCTCCAATTCCCGCTCTCAACTCCACCATTGCCAGCTGCAGTAAAATTTTGATCTTTCAGAACTTAATCCGACCGAATTAGACCACCGTGCTAATTGCTTCGAAAGCATAGACGGGGGAAAATGTGCGAAGAATGAGTATTCCACTAAAACAGCACCTAAGAAGCGTGATTGTCACAAAACAATTGTTTAAGTGATAGTCATTACCTTACCATATGGCAAAGTAACCTCTGCCGTTCTAAGAGAGATTGAACAACTCACGGCGACTTGTCGTCCACTGTTAGGTAACACTTCTTCCCCTCCTTTTTACAATCACACAAGTCCACGACAATTTGTCTAGCATGTAGGCAATTTTAATCTCAAGGAACCGATTTGTAGAAAGGAACTCAGGCAACTACTATTTTCTAGTTCACAATTTTAAATTATGGCGCAGTTTGGAACAGAATTATTCCTACTGCCTAAACGAGGTTCTCTTATTTTAAGAAAAATTATATAATGGAAATTTTGAACGATAGCCCGCCTACTAAACCAGCTGCTATTAAATGCCGAGGGTACAAAAATTGGTAATGTGCTTTTATAAGCAAATTATTGTCATGATGACCCGTGTTATAGGGTAACAATATAACAATATATTTGTTTCAAATATTTGCAACAAATATATTTATGTGACTTCTTAAAGTGAGAAAAAAATTTTGCATTAAACAACAGTGCTAATTTCGGTTGAGAATGTCAGTGTTTAACTTTATGCTCCATGGAGATCTGTGTCACAAATTTCAGTTCGTACAATGGCTAAATGCCTAATACTTACCTGGCCGCATTGTCCTTATTATTATTTGTGTACCTGCCGCGATAGCCAATGCCTATATCATGGCTACATCATCGGGACTTACACGGTAACGCTGAATTGCATCTGGTTAGATTTATATATCACATTTGCCCGTTTTCTTCTCAGCATATTGCTGTTTTTAAAAACTGGAATTTACACCATTCGTACCTAGCACACATGCTTACCTAGCAGGTATATATATCATTCACCAAGCGACTTGCAAGCACCTTGATGTGAAATAAACGGTCAATTTGCCATTTAATAGTCTTCAAATACAAGACTGGAATAACGGTCAGGGCATGGACTTGATCAACACAGCATACAGCATTTGGCTAACAATTTTCAGGTAACTTGTTCTTGCTTGAGTGCTAATGACCTTATAGTATCAATGAATAAAGATTATAGTGTTGGGCATTGCTATCAGACTCATGGTTTTCCTGTTATCCTAATTCTGTGCTCCTGTGTTCATCCACACAGACTGACACCCGACTAACCTCGCACTAATAAACAGACGCATTGCCTGGCTGTCTGCCTGTTTCGTGCTCGCCTAGACTTTCTTCAATCCGTACGTCAGACAGTGGCAATGTGATGCTACCAAAGAAACCACAGCGAGAATTATTATTGTACATAGCGAAAAGCATGGATTTTATCAAAAAAGAAGACGGCCTTGCATTTTAAGAGCAACGCATGTATTGAAACAAGCATTCGCAATAACTGTGTCTAATATGACTGCTAAATACAAAATGGGAGATGGCCAACACAAGACGAGGTTCCACAACGACACTCCTTTCCTGCTCTTTCAACTATCTCGCCTGACTTCTCGAAATAATTGTACGTCAATTCCTCGTGGGCCCTAATATCACGCAGTGCAAACAACGCCAGCATGGGCATCATTGTGAGATTGGGCTCACAGGAGTGGTTGAAGAGGCAAGTGGGATTGAGATCGGCTGGAAAGTCAGTGACGTTGTACGCGCCATCAACCACGGTCATGAAAGCAGGGAGACGATTTGAATTGACAAACGCCTTCACAACCATCACGTACACGTGATTCCACCTCGCAAGCTGCTCAGCTGCACGTGCACGTGCTGT